GGAGATTCCGATTCAAAAATTGCTCGTTTAAAGGTATAAAAGTACCCGGAGGACCTGTTTTTTTTTTTTTTTTTTTTTGGTAAATCGTGTGTTTTGGAAATTACATTTAGATACAAATAACTGAGTAATGAAATATGCGTAATATTTTTAGATCTTACCGACCTAATAATAAGAAAATATGAAGTGGCGTTTTTCACAAAAGAAACAACTTTAAAAAAAGGGAAAAAAGTAACAAAATAACAAATCGACAAAAAAATTAAAAATAAAGAAAAGAATGATCTGCAATCCAAAAAAAAGTAAAAAAAAGAGTGTGTAAATGATCGTGATACGAACCACGGCCGTCTGTTTTGGGGCCGCCCGATTACCGACCGAGCTATTATGACATTTTCTTTTGCGGCGAAATTTACCGTCATATTCAAATGATATTTTTCATTCCCTGAAAACAGGGATAAAAGAACATTTTCTAAAAATGAAACCTAGCTAGATCGATTTTTCGCCCCCGAATCTACGCACATACTAAATTTCATGAAATATTGATATGTGCGTAGTAGTAGTAGTATATAGTATATATATACATATATATATATATACATATATATATACTATGTCGGCGTGAAGACGTCACTCGAACATTTTATTAGTATCATCGTTTTATTAATTTCATAAAATATTACAATAATAAATTTAGATTGTATTCTCTTTCAATCATTTTTGTTTTTATCTGATAAATAATTAGTTTTGCTTATAAAATAATCACTTCAACGTTTCTTGTAATTAAAACGTGAGTCGGAACTTCGCTCACTTCTTAAATGATAAAGTTATTCTTATAACCCTATTCCAAATAAATAATTATCAATGTAATAAAAAATTATGATTTAAATGACTAATTTTCACCAAGAGTAATCTTTTTAATAAATTATAAAATGTTCTTGCAAGTTTATTTTTAAAATTGTAAACATCCGCTTAACTAAATGTGTGGTTTCGAAAAACAATTAACATTGTTATAATTCTCATTATTTAAATAATTATTAATCGTGTAAAGAACATGCAAATACACCGAGTCCGATTGTTTTGTAAAGTTTCTACAAAATCCACAACTTCCGTGACATTAAGAGATGGCTAGTCGTCTTAAGTCGTGGGTTTTGTAAGAACTAAGAAAAATAAGGTTTGGCACTTTCTCTCCAGCCTTGGACTGGTGTAGACACCTCAATTCTTAAGTTAAGTATTCTGTATTTCTGTTATAACGATTATTAGCCTTAATAAGTGTTGTGATTTTCCAGTGTTTAAAGTTGTGTAGATAAAAAAATTAAAAATAAAGAAAAGAATGATCTGCAATCCAAAAAAAGTAAAAAAAGAGTGTGTAAATGATCGTGATACGAACCACGGCCGTCTGTTTTGGGGCCGCCCGATTACCGACCGAGCTATTATGACATTTTCTTTTGCGGCGAAATTTACCGTCATATTCAAATGATATTTTTCATTCCCTGAAAACAGGGATAAAAGAACATTTTCTAAAAATGAAACCTAGCTAGATCGATTTTTCGCCCCCGAATCTACGCACATACTAAATTTCATGAAATATTGATATGTGCGTAGTAGTAGTAGTATATAGTATATATATATATATATATATATATATATACATATATATATACTATGTCGGCGTGAAGACGTCACTCGAACATTTTATTAGTATCATCGTTTTATTAATTTCATAAAATATTACAATAATAAATTTAAATTGTATTCTCTTTCAATCATTTTTGTTTATCTGATAAATAATTAGTTTTGCTTATAAAATAATCACTTCAACGTTTCTTGTAATTAAAACGTGAGTCGGAACTTCGCTCACTTCTTAAATGATAAAGTTATTCTTATAACCCTATTCCAAATAAATAATTATCAATGTAATAAAAAATTATGATTTAAATGACTAATTTTCACCAAGAGTAATCTTTTTAATAAATTATAAAATGTTCTTGCAAGTTTATTTTTAAAATTGTAAACATCCGCTTAACTAAATGTGTGGTTTCGAAAAACAATTAACATTGTTATAATTCTCATTATTTAAATAATTATTAATCGTGTAAAGAACATGCAAATACACCGAGTCCGATTGTTTTGTAAAGTTTCTACAAAATCCACAACTTCCGTGACATTAAGAGATGGCTAGTCGTCTTAAGTCGTGGGTTTTGTAACAACTAAGAAAAAGAAGGTTTGGCACTTTTCTCTCCAGCCTTGGACTGGTGTAGACACCTCAATTCTTAAGTTAAGTATTCTGTATTTCTGTTATAACGATTATTAGCCTTAATAAGTGTTGTGATTTTCCAGTGTTTAAAGTTGTGTAGATAAATGGTTGCTTTCATGTTTTGAGAAACTAAATAAAATTGTTCGATTGTTGTGGCTATTACTAATTTAAATTAATTATGAACTCCGATGAAATTAGTTGTGACGTCAGCGACGCTGACGTCACTATTCTTAAAAATAACGTTTCGGTTCCCGCGCTTTCATCAGAAGTGGGATGCCCACTCACTTCTGCCGGACCTCCTGGTATTCGAATGGATGAAAATACAATAAACGCGAACAGTCGGTCAATTTTAAGCGATTTACCTGTAGAGTTTTTGATGCAAATGACACAAACTATGAAAAGTATTTCGGACCGTTTATCTTCTCAACAAAGCGAAAAACTTAAAATAAACGATATTTTTCTACCCTCTTTTGATCCGGATAATAATGTAAGTATTCGGGAATGGTGTCAACATATTGATAAAGCAATTGATTTTTATAGCCTTAAAGATTACGAAATTCGCATGAAAGTAGGGAGCTTGTTAAAGGGCCGCGCGCAATTATGGGTTGATAGTTGGTTGATCACTACAACCTCGTGGCAGGATTTACGTGAGAATCTTATTTTGACCTTTGAACCTGAGAATAGGTACTCACGCGATGTTATTAAATTTCGTGAGCATTTTTACGACCAAACTAGAGACATCGCGGAGTTTCTTTCGCAGGCTTGGGTTTTATGGAGGCGTATCACTAAAGATAAACTTAGTAACGATGATGCTGTCGAGGCTGTCATTGGTTGTATTAATGATGATCGTCTCAGAATTGAACTTATGAATGCATATGCAACATCGGTACCAGAGTTAATATCGGTCGCATCCTCAATACGATCGAAACGCACTCATTCTAATTCATATTTTTCACAAGCTCCAAATAAACGTGTGAGATCTAATGAGTTGCTAGCCCCTATTCAGTGCCGCATATGTAAAAGAAATAATCACAGCGCACGTGATTGTCGTTTCAAAATTGGCCAGAATAATTTACCTCTTAAAGATTCTTTTCAAAATAGACCTGTCGACTCTACAAACCCAGTTCAAAGCAAGCCGACGTGCACCTTTTGTATGAAGACTGGTCATACCTATGACAAGTGTTATAAGCGTGAACGGTCGATTGTATCGAACGTTAATTGTGTAGGCGAAACAAAAACTACTTCGATGTTCGTTACCATTGGCGGTTATTTAATACGGGCAACTTTCGATAGCGGTGCGGAATGTTCAGTTATGTCCGAATCCGTAGCGGCAAAATTACCGGGTAAAAGGATCCATGACGTTAATTATTTGAGAGGTATTGGGCATTTCCCTGTGATTTCACTAATAAAATTAAAAACCATTTGTAAAATAGATGACATTAGTATTGAAATTAGTTTTTGTCTAGTGCCGGATTCTGAAATGACTGCTAATGTGTTGATTGGCATGGATTTAATTTCCAAATTCTCTTTAAGCGTTTTAGTTACATTGGACGGTGCGAAGTTGATCAACCAGCAAAAAATTTTGCACATAAAATCGAACAACTCACTTTTTGAAACAATTGATTGTGATCTTCAAAATGATTACGAGGTCGATCAACTACGCGTATTGTTGAATAAATATGAACACCTATTCATACGTGGTTTCCCTACAAGTAGAGTAAATACTGGTGAGTTAGAAATACGATTAAAAAATCCCGACAAATTCGTAGAGCGTAGACCCTATCGCCTGAGTCCAGTTGAGCGCGAAAAAGTTAAGAAAATAATTAACGAACTAATTATTCATAAAATAATTCGTGAAAGCAAGTCACCGTATTCCAGCCCTATTATTTTAGTAAAAAAGAAAAACGGCGATGATAGGTTATGCGTGGACTACCGTGAGTTGAATTCAAATACCTTAAGGGACCATTACCTACATAAAGGGGGCAAAGTGGGAATGGAGCGAACGGCATGAGAAAGCTCGTAATATTATTATCGAACGTTTGACTTCGTCCCCTGTACTTGCTTTATTTCAGGGAGATGCCCCAACTGAGCTTTTTTCACGGACGCCAGCAGCTTAGGATACGGCGCCGTACTAATGCAAGTGATCGATGGACGTCGTCACGCCGTGGCCTACATGAGTATGAGAACAACTGACGCAGAATGCCGCTACCATTCTTACGAACTAGAGACTCTGGCAGTGGTAAGCGCTATAAAGCATTTCAAACAATACTTATATGGACGGAAATTTAAGGTCATAACAGACTGCAATGCCTTGAAAGCTTCAAAACACAAAAAGGAACTCCTTCCGAGAGTGTATCGCTGGTGGGCTTTTCTTCAAAATTATGATTTTGAGGTAGAATACAGGAAAGGCGAACATATTCAACACGCAGATTTCTTAAGCCGAAATCCATTTACTTTACAGGTAAATGTAATGACTCGTGATTTAGAATGGCTAAAAGTAGAGCAACACAGAGATGGCACTCTGCGTCCCATTATTGATGCTTTGACACGAAATGAACGTATGACCGATTATGCGTTAGAAAACGATACTCTCATGAAAGTTCATATGGATCATATGGAAAGTTCATAAAAGATGGTTGTCGTACCAAAAGCTTTTCAATGGAGCCTTATTAACACTTATCATAGCTCCTTGAAACATCCGGGTTGGGAAAAAACATTACAGAAACTAAAAGAATCATATTGGTTTGATAAAATGAGTACTTCCATCCGAACATTTGTCGACAATTATGTAGTATGTCGAAAGTCGAAGGGACCTTCTGTGCTGTGCAAGCGCAACTTCATCCCATTCGTAAACCTACTGCTGCATTTGAGGTAATACATATGGATATTACTGGGAAATTAGGCACCACAATTAACCATGATTATGTTATCGTAACCGTTCAAACAGTACTGCGACCAATTAGGTATAAACGTTCATACAATATCGCCAGGAGTCAGCCGAGCTAATGGTCAGGCTGAGAGAGTGGTAAGCACGCTTAAGAACGCCTTGATTATGATTAATAACTACGAGACTGAAAACTGGCATACAGCACTTGATAGTTTACAGCTGGCGCTTAACTGCACACCACATAAAACCACTGGTGTAGCTCCACTCACTCTGCTTACGCGACGTAAAAACTGTGTCCCGCCTGAACTCTCTAATTTAGTTAATCTCGAAGAAGAAACCTTAAACATGGAACAATTGGAACGATTAGTTAATCAGAAAATGTTGGCAGCTGGTGAGCGAGAAAAACATCGGTTTGACAAAAACAAGGCTCGTATACGTGCCTTTCAAAAAGGAGATTATGTGTTGATAAAAAACAATCCTGGCAATCAAACAAGCCTAGACCTCAAATTCAGCCCGAGCCATATGAGGTGTTTAAAGTTTTAGACAAGCTACCTTGTCAGGAAAGTAGTTGGCCGAGGGAGACCACGCAAAGTTGCGCACGACCAGCTACGCATAGCACCAATACCTGGACAACAATTGGCCATGTCGGCGTGTTCATCTGAAGAAGATTCCGCTTGGCAACCATCTACAGATACTCCTGAGCCGTTACCTTCCACCTCGCGGGACCCCAAAATGAAGCCATAAAGACTAATAGGCTCACCACTCTCCGCTACACCTCTACCACTACAATGGTGAGCATTGTCGAATTTTTCAATCTTTACTCAATCATACACAGCATAACATCATTATTCAATACAAAATCATTTAAAGAGCATAAATATCCATAACAATGAAACACTGTGTACCACGGCGTACAAGACCGCCCAGAGCACAGTGTAATTCAATAAGTTGAAAACGTCAACATTGACAGAATAAAAATAATCATTACATTGCAACATTGTGTACCACGGCGTACAAGACCGCCCAGAGCACAGTGTCGCTTATTAATAAAAGTTGTTAGAAAGTGCGAGATTTCAACAACAATTACATGGCAAATAAGAATTGCACTATATGTAAAACACTGTGTACCACGGCGTACAAGACCGCCCAGAGCACAGTGTCATTTAACTTTAAATGCCATAACTAAAAGATTCTGTGTACCACGGCGTAAGGGACCGCCCAGAGCACAGAACTTTAATTACCCGTTACTTAGGACAAAGGGTTATCTATATCTATTTACTACATTAATGCAGATGCGCTAACATCGTAACAATATCCAGTTGCATACATATAAGATTTTTTTAAGCGAAATAACTGTCTTTAAGTTAAATGTTTCGTAATTTTAGGCATTCGTTACAGATGCCTATCTCAAAAAAAACCCTTACATTTTTCAGATAAAGGCTAGTGCAGAGCGCGCACTGCCTATCAGTATGGCCGTGTCGGCGTGAAGACGTCACTCGAACATTTTATTAGTATCATCGTTTTATTAATTTCATAAAATATTACAATAATAATTTTAAATTGTATTCTCTTTCAATCATTTTTGTTTATCTGATAAATAATTAGTTTTGCTTATAAAATAATCACTTCAACGTTTCTTGTAATTAAAAAGTGAGTCGGAACTTCGCTCACTTTTTAAATGATAAAGTTATTCTTATAACCCTATTCCAAATAAATAATTATCAATGTAATAAAAAATTATGATTTAAATGACTAATTTTCACCAAGAGTAATCTTTTTAATAAATTATAAAATGTTCTTGCAAGTTTATTTTTAAAATTGTAAACATCCGCTTAACTAAATGTGTGGTTTCGAAAAACAATTAACATTGTTATAATTCTCATTATTTAAATAATTATTAATCGTGTAAAGAGCATGCAAATACACCGAGTCCGATTGTTTTGTAAAGTTTCTACAAAATCCACAACTTCCGTGACATTAAGAGATGGCGTCCAGAGGGCGCTAGTCGTCTTAAGTCGTGGGTTTTGTAACAACTAAGAAAAAGAAGGTTTGGCACTTTCGCTCCAGCCTTGGACCGGTGTAGACACCTCAATTCTTAAGTTAAGTATTCTGTATTTCTGTTATAACGATTATTAGCCTTAATAAGTGTTGTGATTTTCCAGTGTTTAAAGTTGTGTAGATAAATGGTTGCTTTCATGTTTTGTGAAACTAAATAAAATTGTTCGATTGTTGTAGCTATTACTAATTTAAATTAATTATGAACTCCGATGAAATTAGTTGTGACGTCAGCGACGCTGACGTCACTATTCTTAAAAATAACGTTTCGGTTCCCGCGCTTTCATATATATATATATATATATATATATATATATATATATAAGTATAATAATAATATTCTTAAATTTATGCTACTCGTATATTCTTTTCTTGTATGCTTCTACATGTTATTCTTGAACAAAAGCCGCGATACCTCAGAGCCCGGGCGCTCGCCTTTAATTCAATATATTCGAGCAATGTGAGTTCGATCCCGGTGCCGGCAACAATGAAATTGTTAATTTTAAGTGCTGACTTATCACGTGCTCAGCGGTGCAAGAAAACATCGTGAGGAAATCTGCATATTTTCGAAATAATAACAAAAAAAAATATTTCGATGATATGAAAAGTCCGCACATACGCAGTGGGGCCGCGTGGTCATGCCTTGATACCCTATGTATAGAGGAAGCCTTTTCCCAGCAGTGGGATATGTGATATAACCTGTTTCTTTACTTTACTTCGTTTTAAAAAAAAGTAAAATTACAAAATTAGAATTTTAACAATGTACACAGAACTAAAACAACAAGCTTTTATATTGATGAAAAACAATTGTCAAAACGACATTAAAATTATTATTAAATGAAATTGAAGTCGGTAATTGATTGTCAATTCTTGTCTTCGACGCCATTTGTATATTACTTTTGTATTCGTTACAACTGCCTTCACGATGTCCGTCCGAAATGTTCGCGTGAACAACTATCTAAATGAAACATTCGAATCGCGTATTGACGAATTATCCAAGATTTATATTATCTGCGGATGGTTGATTGGCTCGTATAGAATGCCCGTGGTATATAAAATAAAACCGTTCTATAAAGTTTTAACATTTGCCTATTCCCTGCTTTTTGGCGTTGGTGCGATTTATTACATTCTATACGCAAATCCACGACACGTAACTGATTTTGTATTACTTTTAAATTTGGCGCAGTACCTTCTATGCATTACTGCTACAGCAATATTCCAGAATAAGATTAAGAGTTTTTATATGGAACTATTTGAATTTGACAGGGAGATTGGATCTATGTGCTTGACAAGTTCAGATTCTAAAATAAATTTTGTGCAAGCGGTTGCAACATTTATTTTTATTGTTCTTTTTAATTTAGTACTTCGAACCTCATTTGCTATGTCTGAGATACTACCGGAAATGATACCCATGGATGTAAATCACATTTTAGAACTTTATTATTGTGGACATCTTTTGAGTCTACTCGATAGCAGATTAAAGTCAATTAGAGTATTACTGCTGTTATGTTTTCCAAAAAAAAATGAAGTAGCTTTATTCATGGAAAATGAGTCTATTAATTATAAAGATAAAAATATTATTAATTTAACAAATGGCGAACAAAAGGTTGAAATAAGAAGTTTGATGACTTTATATTTCAAAATAATAAAAGCATATGATTTTTTGAATTCGGCGGTTAAATGGCAGGTAATGTATCAATTGGATAATAAATAAATCCCCTATCTGTTTAGAAAGAAAAAAAAATTATATTATGATAATTTCGTTACAAAGAAAATAAACAATCCTAAATGCTAAATATTATAATACCATGCACCAAAAAGGTCTCCACTCAGCGTTAAATTAATGAAGTTTAAAATAAGAATTTCATGAAAGTTGATTTTTAGTGGAACCGAGATAAGGAGGTAGATATCGATACCGTTAGCTTATAAAACAATTTACAAATTCAAAATATTTTACTCATTTGTTTTAGCTGCTTATTATTCTTGCAACGGGATTTATAACGACTTTGGGTACGACTTTTCACGCATCCTTCAAAATTATTAAAAACACAGTAAGTACAGTCATTAATATAAATAAACGAAACGGAAGTAATATTCACATTTTTGCGACTTGTCCGATGAGTGAAGCAACTTTATTTTTTTATCTATTTCCGTTAAATTTTGCTATATGTAAGATATGTATATGCTATAATTATGAAGCTGCTAACAACTATTTTATTAAGTAATTGTTCAGTTGAGTAATTTATTTTACTTTAAGGGCTTCTTATGTTGTGCATTATAATATTTACTCTCTTTATTCAAGTTTACTTGGAATGATGCGATATTTGGCATTGGTATGAGTCTCATCAATGTGGCGCCTATAGTGATACCGTGCAAATTTGGGGAGAAGATTCACACCGAGGTGTTGCTCTTAAGAACTGCACTACATGCAAGAACTTACAACAATGTGTTTGGTAATGTTCTAGGTTTCTGTGTTTTCTAAGCATATTATTTTTTTAGATTGAAACATCAAATTTTCCTTTACATTACAGATACAGCCAGTCGAAGTATAGCTTCTTCTTTTTTGGCGTTATTAGAAGCTCGAAACTTGTCATTCTCAGTGTTTCGCATGATCAAAGTGAATATGTCACTTCCGTTGAAGCTTTTTGGATTACTTGCTTCTTACGTTGTTATACTCTTACAATTTCAAAAGGTTTTAAATTTTGATCGGGCCGTAAACATTCCGTAATTTTAAGTTAAAGGTTATTACAGTTTTAATAATAAAAGTTAAAAGTCAAAACTTGTACGTAAAATAACCATATACATTATGTTAACCCTTACTTAACAAAAACGAAACTGTTATATATAAGTCTTAATAAAGTATAATGTATTGGAATTATACATCAACTTATCGTTTTATGGAATAAAGTAATAGTAGTAAAGTAGAAAAAAAGTAGTATTGTAATAATTTTTCAACATGTCAATATGTGGATTAAGACATAAAAAAGTATTTTTTCACAGCACACCATTAAAACGCCACACTCGTGAAAATGTAGGCCCTTCAATACTCAATATATGTCCTGACAAGTGAGTGTTTGCTTTGATTAATTTTTGTGGTGTTTACTTATAAAAACCATGATTGTGATTAATGGAAGTTTGATGTATTACTGATTCTGTTGTGAGACAATCTTTTTAATTTTCATCTTGAGCGCAGAGACCAATACCACAAAATATTAAAATAATCCTAATAGCGGATATATCCTACAGTAGAATCTCTTCTAGTCAATATTGGAGTAACTGTGTTATTAATTGTTATATGGCTATTTTTTTTAGTTGCCAGCCCTCAAGAGTTATTAAAGATTTATTTCTGATGCATTTAGCAAGCTATGGGACTTTCCTAATTGTGTCGGCGCGGTGAATGGTTAAACGTGTGGCTTACAGGCGGCGTGCAGTTAACAATGTTATCGAATTTTTATAAGAGAAATTTCAGTATTATATTATTTAACTTGGCTAATGCCAATTGCAAGGTTAAGTTTATCAATAAGGTTGTCAGACCCCGAATATCTGATGATGAAATACACAAGAATAATAGTCTCACACTCTTTATGGTAAAAGGTGAATTGAATTTGCCCCCTCCTACACCTTTGGTAGGACATAATAAAGATATACCATGTTATTTATAGGGTGACTGCATTTGCAGAAAACCT